GAATATGCAGTTTGAACTTGTGTACAACACCCAGGACTCCTCTGTGCCCTCTTTAAAAATGTCTTCCCTTTTGAAAAAAATCTCTGAGAAAATCGACAGTCTTCCCCTTGTGAGACTTTTCTCTAGCAATGTTGGTTAGTTGGGAAGAAGGCAATGTTTGTTTGAAATTTGAGTTATTGTTTCTTTGCCTCTTTAATTGGGCAAAATATAAAGTTTGCCATTTCTAAATGTCTAAATATTCAGGCACATCAATGACATTCACAGTATAACTGCTGTCCACGCTATTTTTTTTTTTAATCACAAACTGTACCCATGGGAAACCCTGCTATGCGCTTCTTTTCGGGTGTCTACCCAAAGTGGAATTGCTGGCTCCTATGTGCTGTGACCTGAACGTCCCCCAAAACTTAAGTGCCGAATTTGGTCACTATACTATTAATAAGAGGCATAAACCTAACCAAGTATTGGTGATTGATGAGGTCACGGGGGCTGTCTCATGAATGGATTTAGTAGACTTTACAAAAGGCTCAAGGGAACCAGCTAGACTCTTTTTGCCCTTCGGTTCCTTCCCCCACGTGCAGCCACAAGACTCCCTCTCGGCAGCAGAGACCCAGGCCCTCAGACGCTATTGGAGCCTTAATCTTGGACTTGCCCAGTCCCCAGATCTGAGAGAAATAAATTTGTCTTTTATAAATTACCTAGTCTTCAGTATTTTATTACAGCACCACAAACAAAACATATAATCCGAACTTTTTAACCAAATTTCTTTTCCATCTTGGCTGCTCTATTTGACATGCCCACCAGCAATGCACATAAGTTCCAGTTTTTCTCATTGCCAACACTTTGATAATAGCCTTCCTAACGAGTGTGACAATAGTATTTTGATTCAAATTTCCCTAACAACTTGTGAGCTGAGTATCTTTTTCTAGCACTTATTTACAAGATACTCAGAGCTTACTAGTTGTTACTCTAAGACCTCCTTGTATCACAAAAAGCTAGACTTCATATTGAAAATGTTAACCTTGGGATCTATGTATTTAACCACAGTTTTTTTAATGCATAGGCTTTTAAAATTCTTAAGGTATTAAAACTAAATAAAGGTTTAAGGCCTTGGTTATCAATTTTATATTTCTAATAGAAGTGTATAAGTTTTTACTACCCATTTTTTGGTCCCTGTTTAAACCTTACCATGAATAACCATGCATCAGAGGCTGAGATTCTTAATCACTTGATTACCTGTAAATTCAGTGAAAAAGACTGCATATTTATCATCTGGCAAATATGTGACCATAGGTAAGGTTCCATGATTGTGAATATTAAACACCTGAAATTTTAAACGAGTAGTGGGCATACAGTGTTATGTTCTAGAACATGTAATGATTTCCTTTTCTTCTGATAGCAATCAAGACTTGCATTCTGGGATGGGGGTGTAGCTCAATGGTAGAGCACAGGCCCTGGATTCACCCCCAACACAAAAATAAAATTTAAAAATTGCATTCTGGCCATAACACAGATCCTCTTTAGAAACAAAGGAGTTTCATTTCTAGTAACACCTCTAATTGATAGGTTTTGGTTGCTTCAGGTAAGAGGATTTTGATTCCCATCTGGACACAGTCATTAGTAGTGGTATCTACCACAAGCTTCCAGTACTAGGTAACACATGCCCCTACCCAAGTCACCCTGTCAGGTAATCAACTTGCCCAGTTAAAAGGACTTATATTTCCTTTATTACTGAAATGAGGTAAGCCTTACTATTAAGAGTCTTTGATATTAAGTCACTTTTGTCAATTTCCTTCTAAAACCCAAAGTTTAAGTGGGATTATTAGATGTAAACATCATGTAGTCTTGTTTTGCTTTAATGAAAAAAACATGTTCAAACTCACATTACTTTGGCCAAAATGAAAAGCTGTATTTGAGCTTTGCCCTGTGAAAACTTCAGTATTAAAGGAAAAAAAGAAGAAATCAGACTACAGTCACCAATTTGATTCATGATCCAATATTAACACTCATTATTTTGTTTTGTTTTACTAACATGTAGTGAATCCTACAAAGAATATATTCTTTATTTTTAAAAAAGCACCAAAACAGGAAGGAAATATTGGAAATATCTGAATAAATAAACAACAGGCAATTGACTGGTCATTGAGAGGTTTTAAAACAGTTGTATCAAAGTAATTTTAATTCTAAGAAAAGCTTTATTCGCAATAAAAATTCACTTATTTGAAACATACTATAGTCTGTACTTAACGAACTAAAGAATAGTTATTCAATCTATTTAGCGTTACTAAAAAATGTTAAATAAATTCAAATCTAATATTATCAGCACATTTCCAGGGAACTGAAATTTTTCAGGCTAAATTCTAGTCTTTACATAATAGTGCAAGCCTGTCAAAATGTGACTTTTACAAAATCCAGCATTCTTTCATACCACTGTTTACATTAATTTCTACAAATTTGTAATGCATCTCAGAATTTAGAAAGGCCTCAGAACATTACAACTAAAATGTAAAGAAATTGCTTCAATCTGTATAAAGATAGGGAAAATGTGTAGCTAAGCAAGACACTGGGCTACAGAGCCAGGCCAAATGATAAGCCCCACCTCATTCACTTACACCAGTAGATACCATTAGATCATTTTACGGAAGAACCTGACAGAGATTAAATAAAAGTCAGTTCAGGCAATTAAAGTCTAGAGCCCAATAATGTACGCCACCAGATTTTACTATGTGCTTGGTAAGTATCAAACAATTTAGTCTGGATGATGCCACACTTAGATAATGTGAAATTCTCTTGGTAAATGATCTATTTTACTGTAAATCACCAGGTAATCCTTGGTACTCTGAACCTCCACAATGTTCAATCTGTAACACTGTCTACCTTCCTTGTATAACCCATACAGATAACCACAGTACCAGGTGGTTATTCATACCTTCTACTCATTGCGTTATATTCTGATCTTAACTTTTGTCAGCAGTCACAGACTGACCCCAGGTATAGTGTAGTTTCATTCAGTTTTTATAATTTGGATTACTTACCAATTCTTCCATTCAGGAATCTGAATGAAATATAATTCTATCATTGTAGAGATTCCTGGATATAAAAAGAGCTCTTGTGTGGGGGGGACACATACTACTATTTGAGAGCTAAGCAATCTATAGCCACTTATGAAAATTTAGTTTGCAGAAATGTGGGTGTTAAAAAAAAACATAAGTAATACATAATAAAAATCAAAGCAAAGGAAAAAAAGGCTTTCCAATGATCACTAACACACTAAACCGGTCCATGTCAACCCAATAGACAATTTCTAGTTGAAAAATATAGATCAGGCTGGGGATTGTAGCTCAGTGGTACAGCACTTACCTACCCTGGGTTTGAGCCCCAAAATCATGAGGAAAAAAAAAAGTATATAAAAGCAAAATAATAGAATATTACCTACATCTACCCCATAAAATGTGAAAGACGACACCCAAAGAAGGGGTAGGGAAATTAATAGAAACCATTCATTATTATAACAATTCAAGAACAAGAGCTAAAACAAAACAAAACAAAAAAAAAAAAAGAACAAGAGCTAGACCTAATAAACCAAATTTTCAAATGGACCAAAGCAATGTGGCTTTAGAGCTCATCACTGCAGACCAAAAGTAGAATGATGACTGAAACATAAAATATAAAAATGTCAGCTTTACTAGCTAGTTGTCAAACATATACAAAATTTACCTAAATTTACTTGAATTAGTAAAAACTGAGGGCTTCTAATTTTTTAATACTAGGGATTGAACCCAGGAGTGCCTAAACATTGAACCACATCCCCAGTCCTCCTCTTATTTTATACTTTGAGACAGGGTTTTGCCAAGTACTGCAATCCTTCTGCCTCAGTCTCCCGAGTCACTGGGATTACAGGCCTGCACCACCACACCAGGCAAAACCTGAGGTTTTAATGAAACAATGATTATAAAGTACCAAGAGTTTTTTAAAAAATAATAATCCCAGCAACAATATGTACAAAGCATTGATTGGGTAACTTTACTGTGTCTTATTTAACCCTGTGAGGTAGCTACTAGGATGTAACCCCTTTTTAGACATTAGGAAACTAGGGCCCAAGGTCATACAGCTATAAGTGGAGCAGAGCCAAGATACTTAACCAGCAGAGCTATGAAATACCAAAAACTAATTTTTGTTTTTAAGGGGACAAAAGTGATCAGCTAAAAATTTTAGTCAATCTTTCTCCTGAATTCTGTGGATTTCCTTGTGGAAAATCAAAATAGGGGGGGGGGGGGGGATGAGGGAAGCCTGGGGCAGTCCAGAGGCCACATGCCTGGCTCCTGCTGCACTTAGAATAAAACTCTGCCACACTTCAGAGTGACAGCACAGTATTTTCTGCTGTATAATTAAAGCACAAAATGGAACAGGAAAATGACTCTGGACTTCACCACACTTACAGCTGAAGCAGACACATTAAGATTTTTTTAATTTGCCAGATAATCTTTTAATGAGAATTATAAAAGACCAAAAACATATTTTTTTTGCAAACTGCCTTTTTTTTAAACAAATGATTTGCTCTTAATTACAAATACTGTGTATGATGATGCCTTCTTCTGCAAAACCAATAAATACAAGAACAAATTTCTAAACATGTGATTTGTCCAAGATATTTGAGAAGGAAAAAAGCCTGATTTTTTTCAGTGTTTATATAAATCAGAATATATTCCCTAACTTTTCAGAGTAAGCTGGAAGGTATGACTCGACTGGAAAAGAGGATGAAAGAAGAGAAAGAGACCACCTTATAGTTGCTTTAAATAGTTTTTGATAATTTTTCTTTGATGTAACCTTTCCTTTCTGGGACTCATATCTTCACAAAATAGCTGAATTTAAAATATTTCTAAAAAACTGATTAATGAGGGGAAAAATATGTATTGAACACAAACTTTACCATAAACAATTACGCATATCAAAAAGACACTAACTTTAAAAAGGTACAAAAAAAAGTGAGGAAAAACCTGAAATTACAGAAAAGAAAGTCAAATTTATTTAATGAAAAACTAGAATTAATAAAAATTAGCAAATGCACACACACAGCCAAAAAAAAAGAAAACAACCAGCAGCACTATGTATTGACTCACAAAGGGAGAAGCAGTGGCCCAAGACCACTCAGATGGCTTGTCAGTTAAACACACACACACACACACACACACGCGCGCACGAGCGCGCAAAAAAGAACAAAAACAAAACAAAAAACCCAATATTTTCAACAATACAATCAATCTACAACAAACACAAAAGTCAGAATTATTTTACAATGCTTGCTCTCTTAATACAAAAGATGCCCATCTTGGGTGTATATATATATATATATTTTTTCAGTGGTTTACTGTTGACTTATTTTTAAATATATTAGTGTTACTACATGCAACTGTTTCCTGTATTTAACAGCCTTTCTTTTTATTTACCTTCATGTGTCTAGCTTCCACCTACCAAAAGAGTTTCAGGTTGGTAGGCAGATGGGTGCCTTATTCTCCTGTGAAATTGAATGCAACAGTTTTAAACACTGGCCAGAAAATGTTTGATTGCCGTTTCAACACATGGAAATAGTTACATTGATGCCTAAATTGCCGTTTTCTGCAAAAAGCTGTGCAATGCTGGTGTCAAAGACTAGGCAGTCACTATTCATAATGGCTGTTGCAATTCCCTCATGAATAGATCGAGGAGTCGCTTCCCAAGTCAATCGCCGCCTATGACCATTTAGCTCAAGTCGATAAGCAAAATTTTCAGCTTGCTTGCGTGTTCCTATCAGCTGTACAATTGCGAAGAATTGCTGGTGACCATCGTATTTTTCCTGTTTCTCCAAGACTAACATGAAGTGAAAGCCAAAACAGGACTGCATCATCACCCAGTCAACAGCACCAGGAAGATTAATGTCTGTAGCAAGGAAAACTATATCCTCTCCCTGTAGGGTTGTAATGGACTTGTGCTGATGCATCAGATGGGGCATTACAGCATCCAAAGAGCCTTGCCACTTACAGGAAGCACCAGGGCATGGGCAGGAATAAGGCCTAAACTCACAGAGCTCTTCGTGGTCTGCTTTTTCTGTATGTGGCAGAGTTATTTCACATCCAGAAGAGGCATATTTACAAGGGAAAAGTACTGAATTGGCCACTTTCTCCATAGCCAAGTTGCGAATGGATCCCAACGGGCCCCGGCAAGTTGGACAACATGTGAGCTTCGGGCGACAGTTGCTACAAACAAGATGACCACTCTGACATTGAAGAATGGGTGGTAACACATAGTCAAAGCAGACAGGACACTCAAAAAGACTCGCCAAGTCATTGTTGGATGCAGTCGTGCCAGTCAGGGCAGGCACCCTCTGGGATGGTGGACACTTTGAGGTACCAGTAGGTAATGCTGTAGCAGTCTGACGGCTCATCTCTGAAATAAAAAATAAAAAAATAAATGGAAGAATAATTACAACTTATGTTTTATAAATAATGTTTACATGCCAGAAAAACTTTGAAGTTTCATGCAAAATTTACTGTGAGCAAAGAGATAAAGGAATAAACTAGGGTTTAGAAAGCATATTGGGGCTGGGGATGTGGCTCGAGCGGTAGCACGCCCGCCTGGCATGCGTGCGGCCCAGGTTCGATCCTCAGCACCACATACAAACAAAGATGTTGTGTCTGCCGAAAAAAACTAAAATAAATAAATATTTTTTTTTAAAAAAAGCATATATAGGGGCTAGGGTTGTGGCTCAGTACTAGAGCACTTGCCTAGCATGTGTGAGAAACTGGGCTCGATCCTCAGCACCACATAAAAATTAATTGAAGGTATTGAATTGTGTCCATCTACAACCAAAGATATTTTTTTAAAGCATATATAAAAACAAAATAAATTATTAAATGTGCATCTGTTATTAGGAGTTAAACACTGACGAAGCCTTTTCAAAATATTTCAGAGCATATTTTAAATTCCTTTTAAAGTAAAAGTACTAAAAATTATCTTTGGATAGCGTATATATAATAAGAAAAGCTAAAAGAGAAACTGAACCATAAACAACTAAGAGACCTGTATATAATATAGGACCTTAAGCATATTCAAATGTTTGGATTTGACTTTGTCCTCTCAGAGTCCCTAAAGCCGTCTCTTTCCAATTCTGAATCAGCTGTTGGGAGGTAAGTCTTATAAGGTTCATATGCCAAAGATCATCAGGTTGACTCTCCCTAGTGGTGAACAGCATCTTCTCTACAGGTATATTTTGGGAGTGGGGTACAAGGCATCACTAGGGGAAGAGCCTGCTGCCATCTCATTATCCACCTTCATCTATTACATCTTTCACAAAATGCTAACATCAGCTAAGTACTACTTCCTACTGATCTTTGCCCACCTCAAATGTTAGGAAGACTTGGGAAATGGAGAGTCATCCTTAAATAAAAATTGTTAGTCTAGTATTTAGAAAAAGTACTTCATTCTATTCTATTTCCATTCCACAATATAAGTTAGATACAATGTACAAGAGGAAAGAAGAATCAGAAAAAGCGGGTGGAGGAAAAAAGGAGGATGATGATAAAACACCACAGAAAGACACACAGCATGGGGAATGAGGGATGGAGTCAACAGGTAATGAGTTCCTTGTACCCTGAGGTTTACAGTGTAGCTGAAACAGTCATCAGGAGAATAACAAACATCACTTTTCAGATAAATGTCATCTGGAAGAGATGATCAATAATGTAACTAACTAGTCAGGATGAATCAAATATACACAAAACAGGGTACCTTTTCCAAGAATCTACCTCTGCTGGGATATGGCAGGTCATCATTTGTCTTAGGAGTGATACAAGATCAGTCTGCTGGTATCCTAAGAGTGTACTACTCCCAGCAACTACTATACTAAGGTATGTTTCTTCAAAAAATTTATGTTTCATATTTAATGTTTCCTCTCAATTACAATCATTAATCTGTGGCAAAGAACTTTGAAGAAACAATGGTAGTTACAAATGTGACCAGGTAAATACAACTTGGGTTACTGATTATTCAAGTGGTTACCAACAGACACTATAAATGGGGAGAGGGGTGTGAAAAAATTAATTCATTTGTGACTAAAAGAAATATGCTAAAGGGAAACAAGTGTGGTGACAACACTGACAATATCTAGCATGTGTGAGGCCCTGGATTTGGTCCCTGACACCAGACACACACACACACACACACACACACACACACACACAAAAGTATAACTGAATTCCATCATAATGTGGCTCATCCTACAGGCCTACAAAAACATGAATCAACTCGCATCACCTGAAGTAATCCAGCTGTTCTGACAAAAGGACTATAAAGGAGCTCTCCTATAATCCAGTGTCCCTCTGTATAAATTCTTTGGGTGTATGATGATCTATCCATTTTATGTCACTTGTAAAACAATGGGCTGAGCACTACCCAAAACACCTTCTTGTATGCTCTGTGCCTATTGAGTAGTCCATTATATGCTGCTCACTTATGTGAGCAACACAATAATGCAAAAGTGGCTCTTCGGGCACAGTCTAAGCCCCCAATTACCTTTCAAATTACCAAACCAAACACCTATTTACAACAAAAGGCAGTGAGCTCAGTTTGTATTTAACATAATACAGCTACTGAGAAAAAAACAAAAAACAAAACACTTGTTCAATTCCTTAACCTGGCAAAACATTTATCATCACAATAGCTCAAGCTTGCATGATAAAATTACTTTGCAAACATTGTAGAAAGCATACTTTAATTCCTATTAGAAATGTGAAAAACAAATGAAATGCAGACAGTTATTTCTCATGAATGGAGGTATTAAAGGATAGCAACTGCTAAAACCTTCCAAAGCTTCAAAGGTGGAAGCCAGCTCCTTCTTGACCCAGAGAAGGAATCCCAATCATACAGCAGCCCTGCAACAGGAACCAAGAACGGCCCAGGTCGTGACAGAACCTGAAGGTGATTTAAAGAGAAAAGTATAGCAGCTTAAATGAAACATCACTGCCATACTCGGAAAGAGGTAAATTATGCTGCGGCCATTCCTTTCACCAGATTTCACTGATTTACAGCTTTCAAGTTTCAGTTTCAGGAACCCAGTCTTTTCACATCAATACCTTTTCTCTTCCTTGTCCTAGCCGCGGGTAAACATGTGAGCAAGACTCCCCTCCAGGAGTACAAAAAGGGTAAGGTAGGCTTTCCCGTCATGAGAAGTCAGGCAGCGCATTGCGTTTCCCCAAGCAGCAACGGACAATCTGTAACAAAAGTCCTTCCTTGCCACCTCCTGGTCTTAAGCACAGAAGACTGTGAGGTCGGACTTCTTAAAACACTCATTGGGAAGCACAGGCTACAACGGTGGAAAAATGAAGGCCTTCGGTCCTCAGGAGGCGACCACACCTCCCTGTGAGCTCAAATTCGCCTGTCTCCAAAACTCGGAGCTATGGCCGAGCTGTCCTCTGCAGCGGCCTAAGCTTTCATCCATTTCACAAGTTTGTCTTCCCCTGCTCCACTGACTGCGCTCCCACTAAACGCGAGTGACGGGCGGGAGCTGCAGAGTGCACGGCGCTGGCTCAAGGAGCCGGAGTGCACTTGGAGCAAGCTCTGGAAGGGCACTCCTGCCGCCGAATCTGCTGCAGCCACAGGGAGAGCCATTGGTAACCGGGCCACAGCTGGGAAAGCCGGCTCCAACTCCGGGAACCCAGGCCGGCCCAGGGCTTGCCGCGCCCAGGGCGGCGGCCGGCGGCTTCCTAGTGCGGGGGCGGGGCGGCGCAGGAGGGTGGGGCCATGTCCAGGGCCCCGCCCACATCCAAGGGCGGCCCACAGCTCCCCAGCTCCAACTAGGCCAGCCACCTAGCGTCCTCAGCATTTCCACCAACTGAAGTTTAGGGAGAGCCTGGCTTTTGTTGGTCGAAACGGTAGAGTATCCGCAATTTCTTTAAAGAGCTACCCAGGGAATAAGGAATGTGGCCGGACAAACACTGTTCTCTACGTGAAGTGCACCATCCAAGTGAATCCTGAAAACTCACGTTTTCACACAGCAAAAGCATTCTTCGCATTCTTCCTAGTTCATCCTACAGTATTCACCAAATAACGACAGTTTTACCAAACTACAATATTTCCTCAATTCTAACTCACTTCATTTCTTCCCGTTGGCAGCATAATTTATACTTCCCCCGCCTTTCTGTGAAAAGACTTTTGCAGTGAGAGTAGTAAACACTAAAGACACGTTAAACTCGTTACTTGAACCTCCAAATCGAGATTATATTTTCTTCCCACTCTGGGAAAGCCATCTTAAACGGCCCCATTAAACTTAGGAGTAGCTTGTTTTGTTTTTAAACAAGCATTACCCTTGCCCCATAAAGTCCTGTGAGCCTCAGATATGCATTGCATCAGCTCGAGTGTTCAGAGGTTTAACCTTCATTACATCATGCTGAGGGAAGCCTTTAAACTTACCAAGACCTGGCAGTGAGTGAACCCAATGCAGGGAATTGTACATTACCAACTTTCAGCAACAAACTTCAACTCTAACCACTTTCCCACCCTATAAATATTGTGTTCAATCACCTCAAACTCATTTTAATATTAGGCTACACAAAACATCTGTAAGAACAAAAATATAATTGAAAATAGATACTGTCTGCCCCTGGGGCAAATTACTATTGCCTGTGCTTTTTTATAGTCTAACATGTATTCATTCTACCTAGATCCTGGGTTTCTAGAACAGGAGACTTCAAACATTTTATGCAGAGAAACTCCTCCAAACATACCAGGGAACCCAAATGCTTAAAATGAGTGAAGGTTGGTGCCTGATTGACCAGACCCCCAAAGACTACGGTGTCTTGCAGCACTGTCTGAAAACCATTAAGGTATGTACAAATCCCTCAAGATAGTAAAGACAAAAGTATATTAAAGTCATATCCAGGCTCCATCACTTCATCAGTTGTAAAACTGGGATATTTCCAGCCTCAAATAACTTGTGTCTGGCTTAATTGAGATTAGTAGTTTATGTATATAATGGGTGGTACATATTACAGAATAATTTATTTACCTGAGATCAAACATGTTTGCCTGAGCTCAACCACCATTTTAACTCATTTATTTAGCACAACAAATCCTAATTCCTAATTAGGCAGAATATTTATTTACAATGATTTTTAAAAGAGCTGAAAATTTCACAAAAACTGTATTTTACTAAGTCTATAGAATACAAAATTAATGAAAATCCAAAATTTAGCAACAGTACTAATCTACCTTACATCTCAAGCCCAATTTGGTATAAAGTTTAAATGGAAATAATCCTTTATTCTTAATTCCACGTGGAAAACTCTTCCTTTTACAAATATCTGTAAGAGTTTTAAATGGAGAAATGAAGTTGAATATGGAAAAAGGACCACCATATATTGTAAAGCAAGTTACAAACAGAAAATGGGATAGGAAAAGAAATCAGGAAGTCTGGGTGGGATAAATGAGTTATCTGTGACATGATACTGGTAATTTTTAGTTATTTTTCCTTTTAAGAGACAAAAGGAAAACTTGCTTTATAAAGATTAGTCTAGGGTTGGCTCAATGGTACAGCACAGGCTTGTAGTATATACAAGGCTCTGGTTTCAATCCCCTGCATTTCCCACCCCTAAGAAGAAAATGATCATGATTGAAAACAGTCAAATTGAGGGAAAAAAAAAAAATGTATTCTTAATTTAGTAAGAGATAGGATGCAAATATTGCTATACCACCTTTACTTTCCCAAAATTATTCTTAGAAACTATTTAATGTTTATTATAAAATGAAGTTACAGGTAGAGGGTAATAGCTCAGTGTTAGAGCACATGCCCAGCATGTGAGAGGCCCTGGGTTCAATTTCTAGTACAGAAGAAGGGGGAAAAAACATATTAATAAAAATAATAGTTATCAGTTAGGAATCTGTATTTTGCATTAGGAATATGAGTTAAATAAAACTTCATTAAAACATTTAGGCCACTGGCGCACGCCTGTAATCCCAATGATTCAGGAAGCTGAGGCACGAGGATCGCTAATTCAAAGCCAGCCTCAGCAACTTAGCAAGGCCCTAAGCAACTCAGGGAGACCCTGTCTCTAAATAAAATATTAAAAGGGGCTTAGTAGTTAAGCACCCCTGGGTTCAATCCCCAGTACCCACTCTCCCCCCCACCCCAACCAAAAAATTTCTTTTCTCAGAATTCCTTTTTGGGAAAAAAGTGTTTTCTACATTTATTTGACATTATGATAGGTATTATGTCAAAAATGTTTGTTAAATTATAATGTTAAACACTGTTTCTATTTTTAAGACTGAATTGCTTCTCAGGCACTGACAAAATCAAGGCAAATCTCCTTAAAAATAACAGCTTCAAGCTGTTTTAAATGCCAAAAGTTAAAAATCAAACATTGTTATAAAATATATTTTTAGTTTCCCAAACCATAGCAAAGCAGTAAGAGAAAAATATTTTAATTGTACATTTTCCTAAAAGTTTCATTTTTCCTGATAATTCTGAAAACTCAAGCACTAAACTTAGATACTGAAATATGGTTAATAAAATACAACTGGCATACACCTATAATCCCAGCTACTGGGGAGCCTGTGACAGGAGGCTCACAAGTTCGAGATCAGCCTCAGCAACTTATCAAGACCCAGTCTCAAGATAAAAAGAGCTGGAGATATATGTAGCTCAGTGGTAAAGCAACCTTACATTCCCCAGCACCAAAATAACAAAAATAATAATAGGAATGAGAAGTCTGTGAGGTAACTAAGTTCAAATACAGAAGAAAAGGGGTTGGGGATATAGCTCAATGGTAAAGTTCCCTGGGTTCAATCCCTGAGAACCGCCCCCCCCCCCCAAAAAAAAAAAAGATTGATATACAAAAGGTAAAAAGGGAGATTTGGAGTCACAGAGAAGAGAAGCCTGACTAAAATAAGGCAAATCCCAACAGTTAAAGATTCTTCATTAAAGAGTTAGAGTCTAATAGTTCTCATACTTTATTATACTTACTAATCATCGAGGGATCCTGTTAAAATGTAGCCTCTGATTTAGTAGGCCGAAGCTGGACCTGATATTCTACATTTTTAACAAGCTCCTAGGTGTGGCCAATGCCACACATGGAGGCCTTACTGAGTAGCACAGCCTAAAGAACTGAAGAGAACCAACAAGGGAAGAGAAAAATCAGGAGAGGATAGAACCTCAAAAACAAAGAGAAAACAGGGATTTAAAAAGAAACACACAGAAAAACACAGATATGCAGCAATGTTAGGATAAATTATGCTTTATTATATTCTACGGGGAAAATGAATTATCCCTGTAATTAGAAAAAAGAAAGACAAAGAGCAGACATGTTAACCATGCAAGAATTCAAACATAATACCCATCCATGAACCTTACATCTTAAGAAAATGAATGAGAAATCAAGCCAATCAGATGATTAATCAAAGTAAGTCATTTAAGAAAGGTGATCCTACAGAAAAAGGATTAAAGTCTATGACTCCATTTAAATACAGGACACTAAACTGTGGGCATTATAATTACAAATTAGAACGTAAACATTAAAAACTCTGGCAACTATGATACTATGATTTATAATAAATGTATATTTGATCTTAGTCCCTTTTTCTGGCACACAACTCCTAAAATCCTTGTAATCTTCAAAGTGTGTCTTTTTGTATGCTTGTAAGATGACTGGTGGCTCCAGGAAAGCCTCAAGACAGGGGCTGGTTGCCAAGGGAAACAACCTTGTCTTTCAAAAATTTGAACTTCCGGTCCCAGCCCATCATCCTGATCTCCAGAAAAGGGAGAGGAGCTGATCAAAGGCCAATGATTCTAGTTTGTGTACAACCAGAGACATGAGAAATCGTGCCCTATATGTGTACTATGAATTGAAATGCATTCTGCTGTCATGTGTAACAAATTAGAATAAATAAATGTTTTTAAAAAGGCCAATGATTTATTCAATCATGCTTACATATGAAGCCTACATAAAAATCCCAAACAAGGCTGCTTTGGTGGGACCTATACTTTCAATCCCAGCTACTTGGGCGGTCAAGTCAGGAGGATCATGAATCGGGGGAGGGGGGATATGTAGCTCAATGGTGAGTATGCTTGAGGCTCTGGGCTGTCCTCCCCAGTACCACCGGATAGAAAAACAGGCATAGAGGATTCAGACAGCTTTCCAGATTGCAGGTATATGGAAGTGCTTGGAGGGTGTTGCATGGGAAGCTCGGTTCCCCTTCCCACATTCCTTTCCCTATTCTATCTGGCTGTTTGTGTCCTCCATAATATCACTTAAAATGAATGGGTAAACGTTAAGTAAGGTGTTTCCCTGAAATGTGTGAGCCCTCCTGGCAAATTATCACACTGGAAGAGGGAGTCCTGAGAACACCAATTTACAACCTGGGACTTGCAAAGGTCATTAGAAGTAAGAGAGTCTTACTGGCCTGACAGCTTAACCTGTGAGATCTAACTTCAGGCAGATAACGTCAGAACTGAATTACAGGAAACCCAACTGGCATCTGCTAAAGAGTTGCCTCGTAAGTGTGGGACCCTCCACATCTGAGGTTAAATTTTTTAAAAAAGTAGGAAAATGTTTTTTCCTATTATACACAGCAAGGTATAAATAACTACATAGATATTTTTTAAAAATCATATGGTAAGAAATTAATTAATGGCACAGTAACTAACAATCCAGACAAAATGAAGGAGGTAACTGGTGACTTCTGCAAAA